TATATATATATATATATACATATTTAATATTAAATGATATTTATTTAATCTTTATACCTATTGTGCCGAAGATGACTTTTGACTAAATGACCAGCCGTAAGTGCAGCCATTAATGACAATTCACCGGCAAGTACCGTCGCACATACTATTCTAGCTAATCTGCTTGCATTTTCACCGGGTTCATCATTATGTGCACCTTTAACACCTAATATAGATAAACACGCGCCTTGTGCAGGAAGAATAGTTCCACCTCCAACAGTACCTATTTCTATGCTAGGCATTGTACAAGACACATATAAATCTGAACCATCTATTCCCCATGGTTCCATCAAAGTCATGCAATTACTACTTCCAACATTCTGTGCAGGATCTTGACCCGTAGCTATAAAGATTGCAGTTACAATATTTGCAGCATGTGCATTAAAGCCACCTATACTGCCAGCTATAGCAGATCCAATCATATTTTTACTTATATTCACATCAACTAAAGCATGAACAGATGTTTTTAACACATTTGTAACAATATCTGCAGGTACTACTGCTTCGCAAACCACACTTTTACCTCTACCACAAACCCAATTTACTGCTGCTGGCTTTTTATCGGTGCAAAAATTACCGCTTAACGATAATATTTCCATATCAGGAAAATGTTCTTTCACTGTATTTAATGATTTTTCAGTTCCTTTAGATAACATATTCATTCCCATAGCATCACCAGTAGTTGCTACAAAACGAATAAATAAATGCCTGCCAGCAATACGTATGTTAATCTTTGTCAAACGTGCAAATCTACTGGTTAAATTAAAACTATTTTTCATTTCTTTAAAATTGTCAGGATCTTGCATCCATGCCATAGCTTCACTTGCTCTAACAATATTTGGAAATCTCACAACTGGTCCTCTAGTCATTCCATCAGCAACTACACGGCTTGTTACACCACATTTTAACAATGCTCTACTACCACGATTTGTAGATGCTACTAAACATCCTTCTGTTGTTGCCATTGGTACATAATATAATTCACCATCAAGTAATAAGGGACCAGCAATTCCAAGTGGTACTGGTACATATCCCATGACATTCTCACAACAAGCTCCTAATACTTTACTATAATCATAATCTTTATATGGCAAATTGGAAAGATAATCAAGAAAATTTCCAGCCTCTCCTATTATAAAACGCCTGATTTCTACACCCCGTTCCATATCACCGACTGCTTTTTCTAATTGATAAGCAGCTATATGATTATTCTTTACCAACTGAATTACTTCTTCATCCGTTAATCCATTTGCGCCAAGCTATGGATTTAAAAATATATAAAAATTAAAAAAAATATATAGATACATATTTATAACACTTTTACTTACCTCAGATTTGTATATTTTAAGACATTCTTCTATAGATCTAGGAATTCGTGAAAATAAATTTTTATCACTTGATGTATCTACAGTACATTGTTTTTTATCTATTTGTTCTTCCTTGCCATCAATCCAAGGTATAGAAATTGTTTGCATTTTAGCAAAAGATAGTTTGAATGGCATTTTGGTGGTAAGAAAAGAAAAACTCATATCTTCATTTTCATTCTCTTTTACATATTCAATTTCAAATTTTTTTTCTTTCATGTATTCACTTTCAATTTTTTCTTCTGTATCATCTTCTATTTTGAATTGTAATTGTTTAGCAATATCTTCTTTATCTTCGAAGAAAATAAATTTAATTGCAAGTGCAAGAAGAAGGATCAATATCACAATATTATCTGCACTAACAGATAGCCAATTCATTAAATAACCTTTGACTTCAGATGAATCCTCAGTTTTATTATAAGAATTCACTATGACATGTGAATTCGTGGGAGATACTTTGCCTTCTACTGTATCTTCGCTTTCTTCACTTTTAAAACGACTGAAATGAATATTTTATATCAATTTTATATCAATGACGTAATGATATAATTTTCTAAACTTAATCATTAATTCTATTGTATCTTTCTATATATAACAATAATTTATATAAATTAATCTTATAAATTACGAATCGACAGATATTACTTTTATGTATTTCAAAGAAATTTGAATTTTTTATAAAGATAATAATTATCATCATTCTTGACTCGACACAAGAGTATCATGTACTGTTTCCTTAACATCCAAAGGGATAAAGGAACCCAAACCTCGACAAGATACTATCTCTTTTTGCATAATTCATTGAATATGAATTAAATACTTATGAATTATTACATATTCATTGAATATGATTTAAATATACTTATGCTACTATGTAATAAGTTGAACCTGACCTGTGGAAGTTAAGAAGAAGGAAACTGTCAAACAAAAAATAAACTCAAGCAAAAAAAAATACACATCTTATGGGGCAGATTTGTGATAACTTTTTGTCAGTTTTTTTCTATTGTTAGCTATTATCTGATGTATAAAATATAAAGTTCATTTCAAGCGGAAACACGACTTATATATTATAAAAAATAGAAAATAAACACAAGAATGCAGTACCTGTTGGCATGTACTACAAATAGACCAGCAATCATGATTAATTTAACTCGTTCTACTACTGGATTTGGCTTCTGATCCTCTTCATCTAATGGATGCATCATAAAAATTTTATCAGCACTTAATGGTTTCATTGTATTAGTTTCGCGAGAAAGCTGAAAAATAATATATATGTATATATTTTATATATATTTATTTATTTATTTTAATAATTAACATGAAAATATAAAATTTACCTCAAGAATAAGTGATAAACATGCAGGATAAAATGTCATGAAAACAATATAATTTACAACAACTCCCAAGCAAGCGAAACTGCATAAAATTTCTAATCTTCTAACTCCGGATAAGGATCCTATGCTAATAAGTAAAGTTTCCACTAAAGTATCTAATGTAATAGTTGGTCCTAAAAGCGACATGCCACGAGCAATATTTGCTCGCACTTCCTCTTTGTTTCTGGAACTTAAAGCCAACTGTGCTAAAACAGCGGCCTTCGAAAGATCGATAATAAGCAAGAAAAAGAACAGTGCATCCCTGAAAAATAATAAATTTACTCAATAGAATAATATATAAATAATATATTTCTAGATTTCGAAAGTGATTTCGAATAACTTACTTTAAATCGGAAATATCACTGCGTCCAAAATTCACTACGCTAGATGTGAACACAACACTGGAAAATACAGTAAATAGGCCAGCAATACCTAACAAAATATTATATTTAAGTGTTCTTACTAAATTTTAGAATTTTAATGATTAGATTTCATGTAAATTCGATAATTAATTGTCATCACGTATAAAATGAAATGCTATCGCTTTCCATAAAACTTTCTCTGACACTGAAAACTTTCACGCGTATCATGAAAAGATCCGGTTATATATATAGTTGGGCAATATCATCATATATTGTTTTTTAAATACATTTTGCAATTCCGATTTTTTAAAACTTTCACTTTTATTTGAATTAAATCACATAAATATATAACATTTCTCAGATAAATCTATGCGATCACTTACCTAAAATATATTTTGAACCCAATTTTTGCAAATTGCGAAATTGGTGATAAGTAAACAATATAGCTAAACATCGTATTATAGTCATGACTATAACATCAGCTGCATTTAAATCCTAAGAAATAATCATATATTATTTACATGATAAATCATTTCATAACTAAAAACTAAAATATTTTTAATCTCAAAATCAAAAGTTAAATCAAATTTTACTCAAAATCAACTTACATCGGAATTACATCTACCGGGTCCACAATGCGCAGTCAAAGGAACAGTTGGATGTCCGTTTCCTGTCTCCATGTTCAGAATGCATGCTGTGAGTGTGAAGGTCGTCACAATGACTTCTAGGGGATGTCCAGCGCAAAACCGGCCGTGAATTTCAAAGAGACGTGTTAGCATATTTCTTTTTTCTGATAACTATTTATAATCTGAAAAATACATGAGAAAAGAATATTTTATTTGAATATTTTATTTTATACAATACTCCTTTAGTATGTTGTTCGTAAAAAAAATTAATTTCAAAAAATTAGTTACTCATTATATAAAGTGGAAGTTTGAATAATTGACTTTATATAACTGTTACCTTATATAGCTGTTACAAAAAAAAAAAATTGTGAAATAAACTTGAAAAAAGTGCTCTTCGTCTGTCAAAAATATTTCACGAAATGAAGGGAAAATTTAGTAAGAAATTCTGCTTTTTTAAAACGAAGAAAGCTGTTAAAAATGAGAAAAAATAGAAACAAGGATATAAGGAAAATAAATAAAAGAATAGTTATTATATATTTTGTTATATGTCAATCATATTTCAATATACTCGTTATTTTCAATTATGCAATCGAATATATATCGAATATATAGGTAAAATAATGAAATTAGATTTCATTTTATTAACTATTATTTCTCCTGTACCGTTTTCACTCGGATGTTCGATGCTGGAAAAAACTTAAGTAATGAAGTAAAGGTTAAGGTAACGAAGATCTTAATGTACAACAATTTGAAATCCAATAGACATATAAATAGACATATATCTATGAATATGAATAAAGCACAGCTAGCATCAAATAATTTAAAATTATCTTGAAAGATCTTAAAAATGAAAATGAAATATAGTATAAGAAATAAACTTCTCTATATAATATTTACCAATTTATACTATAAATACGAACAAAAAACGAATGAAATAATTTTTTATTCGCTAGCCTATTCACTATTATGTTTTATGTAGATTTTTTATAATATATATATATATATATATATATATAATTTTATATATGTAATATACAATTTAAAAAAACATATTCTAAAAAAAATTCATATATTCACTTTAGAAATAGAATCAATGTATAAAAAGATATAGATTTAAAATGCATAATAAAAAGACATAAATATACTTCTAGATATAATTACTTATATTAATATTAATTATAATTATAATTACTTATATTAATATATAATAGAATCACGAATTAGTACTTTTGTGTTACATTATTTTCATCGATAATATGTATATTATAATACATTTTTTTAATATAAAACATAAAATTTCATTGTTATAAAATTAATAAATATAGTCATATATATAAATCTAATCACATATCTTTAAATGTAAAAATAACTTAAACAAAGAAAATGAAAAGATACAACAAAAATAAACGAAAAGATTTTTTTTTTCGATTTTTTTTTCATTTTTGCACGTGCAGAATCACTAACTGATCATTTGTATTATAATTTCGAATACAAAATATCCGTATATAAAATATTTAAAATGTTTATTTAATTTTTTTAATTTATAAATCTTGTTATTGTTTCAAAATTCTTATTAATAACCGTTTTCATATGCCATTTTATAAAAGATCATAAAAGATTATCTTTTCAAAAAAAATATAGATATATTATTATTTAAAAATATTCGTAATTTTTTTATGTTACACATAAAAAATAATAAATTTAAAAAATTTATGCAGAGAAAAAATCTATTATTTTCTTTTCTTTTCAAATCTATTATTTATAAAAAAAATACCAGAAATAAATAGCGATACAAATTATGTATATAATATAAATAACAATATAAATTATGTATAAAATATACATATAAAAAAATAAATGAATTAACAAAGAATATATAAATGTATAGATGAAAATTATTTTTAAAATATCGCTAAATACAAATTATATATATCTATTATTATTATTATTGTATATACCTATTATTATAATATATATCTATATTATTAGGAAAAATAATTTTTATTAATTCTGCTATAAAAAAACAATAGATTTATAATTCAAATTTAAAAATTTACGATGCGCATAAGTTATATTTAAGATTATATTTAGCAAAATAAAAAATTTGAATAAAATCGAATATTTTTTTTTTCGAATAATTTTTTTATTCTTATTTTTCGACAGTATTTTTTAATTATTTATAATTTACAATTATTCAAAATTATTTATTTTTTTTAGATAGTTTGATATAGAAAAAGATGAAAAAAGAGAGAATGTAAAAAATATTATTATTTATTCATCAAATAAATATAAAATATGAAAGATAGAAAATAATATATAATAGAGTATAAATAATATAAAAATATTTCAACACATAATTGTGCGTATTTCGTTAAATATTTTTCTCTATTCTTCTCATACAAAACAAACAACAAAGGATATTCTCTTTCAATGTATGATCTGCATTCTTAATAGAATATGAAAATTTCCAAGTTGTTATATGTATAAGCTATTAGATATAATATGCAATATTAATTATTTTTTTTAAATAAACTATGAGAGATATATATAATAATTTTATAAAGAAATTTCAATCACTTTAATAATCATTGTTAAACTCATTATCAATTCAATCATATACATATATAAAATCATTAATAATATGTAACATTACAAATCATGTAAATAATTAAATTTTCTGAAAATAAAAATTAAATTTAAAAATCATGTATAACATTTATCATGATTCAATTATTTATTATATATCATATAATATGATCTTTATATAAAATATATAAAATATATAATATAGTCCTTATTATATAATATATAATATAGTCCTCAATAATATAGTCCGTAATAATTTATAATATTGCTTACCTTTAAATAGAAGTAAAATAAATGACTTTAAATAAAATAATAATACTTACATAAAAATAATTTAATTATATTAATATAAATTATTATAAATTAAAAATGGAGTTTTAATACTTTATTATATATTATCTTATTAACTCAATTAATTATACTGCAAACAACAATAATAATGATAAATATGAATAACTGTATCTTGTTAATGTACACTCAACAACTCAATGAATATGTGCATGTGGTCCTGTATAACATGTATACATGTATTTCGTAGCACTTTTTCTTATTATTTTTTTATAACATTAATTAGAACAATTGAAAAAGAAAATAGCATACAATAAACTATTTACATGATTATATTAAACTTATACTTCAAAAGAATCTTTATGAAAGATATTTTTTAATTAATTGAAATATCAAACGATTTGATTTCAAAAACTTTATTTTTTAAATGAGAAATTAATCTTTGAATTGTTAAAATTCAAAATTATGTACAAAACGAGACTACCTACTTGACACTTTGAATTTAGGATAAGAAAAAAGAAAAAGGAGGACAATACTAACAGTACGGTGTTCGCCGACTGACAAAACTGCGCTTATGCTCGGATAGTCCGATCGACCCTACAGAACATGTTTCGACCGCACTCGGCAATTTTCGTCTCCCTTCCTTTCACCTTTTATGCGCACATGTCTTTATCCTCAGCTTTATCGTTTACCTATTATTGTTATCTAAAATTATAAATTTATATACAATTTATATATAATTTAAAAAAAATATTATTTTTCAATAATTAACAATATTTAAAATAAATAAAATGTTCAAATTTTGTATCTTATATATATTATTTTTTACGTATGTGATTACGAATGTCATTGAATTATCTATATTATGCATATTTATTTTTATTATTTCTTTTATATTTACTTAATGCATGTATATCTTTTATGTATACATATTTTATTGCTTTAGTGAATAGATGAGAGGTTAAACTTTTTAAGTAAACATACATAGTAAGATAACATTAGTGAACTAATATTTATTTTATATTATATATTCATAGTTAATTCAAAACGATCCTCTTTCAATGATCCTCTTGAATGCAATAATGATCATTGATTAAATTTATATAAAAAAGTTAATATAAATCTACAATAAAAATATATATAGAAGTTTATAAGAATTATATGTACACATATTTTTCAACTTGACTTATGAAACAAATATTAAGAAAAATGATTTAATTTTCGTATTTTAAAATTTACAACAATGTTTATTTATATGTATTATTTATTAATCGTTTAATAAATAATAAATTATAATTCATCAATTCACAAATGATAAAATTGATTCAAATTTTAATAATTTTCGCAATTTATACAAATATTAAGAAACCAAAAAATACAATTATATTTTGTTTTTCAAATTAACTTTTTATATTAACAAAATATAATATAAATTTTTTTTATTAGATAAAATTATAAAATAATGTAAAACAATGTGAATCGTTTATATGTTTATTTAAGAAATATAGATAAAAATTTTAATGAATCTATATTAGAATTTTAATATCAATCCTAAATTAAAGACAATATAAACGTCTTGAGTTTTGTAATAAATATATTTATATATATAAAAATATCAATACAAAAAACCAAATAAATCCACTTAAAACAAAAAACAAATAAAATTTTAATTTTATATAAAAATTTTATAAATGATTTTAAATAACTATTTTTTTCAGAATTATATACAACAGATGCTCAGCTTTGTTTTAAGAAAGACGTCTTCTTCTCAGAATTAAACTTCAGAATTAACATCTTATCCAAATTTAACATATTGCATGATTATAATTATGATCGATTAATAATATAATATATTATAATATATAAGTATGCTACTGGTATAATCGAATAGAAGATGATTCTACATAGAAAAAAAAAAAATAGAAACATAAAATAAAATTTATTCATTTTAGTAATTATATGCAAATTAAAAATGAAATAATAATAGATAATCATTTGAAAGTAGCCAAAAAAAAAAGAATAAAACTTTAATACCTAAGTTCTCATTTTTAAGAAAATCCGTTAAACTATATGATCATAAAGTCATATAATCGGTGAATTGTCAAATAGAATTTTCTAAATGAAAATTACTAAATGAAAAAAAATTGATTCTATATTTTTTGCTTATTTTTTTATTTTTGCTATTTTTACATATAGAGTAATTAGTTAATAAGAATTATCGATAGTGACTCATATTTAATCGAATGTTAAATAATAAAACTATTTTTTTAACTAGATATTCATTTATATCTAATCGAAAAAGTCTCAATTAGTTGTAGTTTAAAAAATTTTTTTAATTTTTTATTTATTTTTTTTTATTTTATTTAAATATAAAATATTCTATATTTTCGACTTATTTTTTTACATAAAATTTACTATATCATCATTCTATAATTATATTAAACATTATTTTTAATTAAATATGTTAAAAGTTTATGAAAAAAAACAAATATTAGAGATTTAATATCGTTTTGTGAATTATAATTGTTTATTTATATTTCATAAATTTAAAAATATTTATTCATATCTCAATCATATTTTTAAATTATATATAATATATATATATATTATATATAATAAATATATATATATTATATATAATAAATTATATATAATCATATTTTTAAATTAAAATTTTTAATTAATTAAAAAATAAATTGAAATTTAAAACTAAAAAATTCTCAAGTACTTTAACAATAATATTTCATTTTTTATGATTTATCATATGAGATATAAAATTACAATATTTATTGTTAGTTATCTAAAATTATTTATATTATTTTCAATTGAGAAATTAGAAAAAATATTTAAATTATGATATAATTTATATATATAATTTAAATCAATACTTTAGATAAAAAAATAATTATATAATTAAAAAGTATAATTTATTCATTTATTTATTATTTATATTATTATTATTAAGCTATTATTTATTTATTATTTGTGTTTATACAACTTCTATAATTTTATATACACTATATTCAGACTGAGGATGTAAAGAAAATATTATGATTACCAATAAATTATATATAACATAAATATGAGATTTTATATAAATAATATTATAATATATATTATAATATGTTATAGTGAATATTAATAAATATTTCACACAAATAATTGTTAATTTCATTGTTATGTTTATTTTTTCTAAATACAAGTTTTAATTTTATAAAATATTATATAAACATATTTAAAAATATTATATAAATTGTTGTAACTACATTATTTAAAAGATTATATGATATTCAATTGTGAAGTTATTGTAATATTGTATTTCTGTTTTCACATAAATTTTAATTAATATATAAATTTCTGTTATAAATTTTTGCAAAATTTATATAATTTTTGGTAATTTAATATTTAAAATGTTTATAATATTAATGTTCTAAATTAATATAATATTTCATTTAAGACTATAAACATATTATTACATAATTATCACATATAAAAATAAATTTCTGAAAGATCATAATCATTATTATTATCATAATATAACAAAATTATCAATAAATAATAAGATTATTTTTTAAAATTAAATAACTAAATAAGCATAACCTAAAAGAAACAAAAGTATTGAATGATTAACATACCGTAAAATTTCCGAAAATAAAACATATTTCACATAAATACATTAATTACGTAACAATAATTGATATGCTCACTATATCATTTTTTAATCATAATTTTATATATTAATTAACATTTTATATGTTAATTTTACCTAAAATATACAGCACTTTGATGTACGAATTCTAACGACATCTACAGAATTTCTTTATAATTTAAAATAATTTTTATAATGCTTATATTTTTATTTTTATTATTTTTTTTTTTTTTGCATTCTAGACAAAAAAAGGCATTAATTAAATTAAAAAATTTTAAATATACCATATAAAAAAAAAACTATAAAAAAAATGTTAAAATATTTAGTTAGAATTTTAGGTATTTTTTAATAATATACAGCATTTTATATATAAGCATACAAGTTAATTAAATCTATAGTTCGTTTATATAAATTTTTACAAATTTATGATATATATATATATTAATATCTTTATATCTTTCTAAAAATAAAAAATTTTAATGAATTTTTAATGAACTAAATATTTAATAACTAAATATAATTTAATGAAATTTTAATGAATTAAAGATTAATATTATTGTCATTTTAATTTGTTTTTTGACCATCAGTAGAATATCTGGCATGATTCATCATAGATTCTACTCTATTAGCAGTTTCTCTTACAACATCAGAAATTTCATCTGGTAAATGATCTAAAGTAGGAATATGTGCAGAAAGTCTTTTATATACAGAATCTCTATTATTATCTTTTTTGTGTCTACGTTGTTCTTCATACTTTAATTGTTGTTTAAGAAATATAGCATTTTTTATGAATTCTAAAGTATTTTCAAAACTCTTTTCAGCACCATACATTGTTTTAATAGCACTTACAGCATATTCTACATCATAACATCTACCTAAGAGTTGCTGTTGAAGAGCAAGTACTTCAACTCTCTTCTCCACCATTGGAGGCAATGCTTTTCTTACATGTTCTTGTAATCTATAAAATGCAAGAGATGGTTCATTTGCAACTATATGCATATTTTCAGATATACGTTCAGTCGCTAAAATTAAAAAAATAAATATATCAATCAATATTAGTCAAAATGTAATAATAAATATGGTATAGAATCCTAACCTTTCTTAACTTTTATCTCCAATTCTTGATCTGGTTGATATACTTTTGCAGTCATATTTATAATTATTATAAAATATTGAATTAGTATTAAATTTTATTATTACAAATCCATAATGAAATCTATAAATATTATATAAAATCTTAAAATTAAATTTAGTCAATTAACAAAAAATTAGTCTTGTTATTTTATGATATACTTTGAATTCAACACAATTTCTATATTTTTAATTATTTATATGATATATAATATTATAAATAAATTATTGAAATATTTTTCCTCTATAAACAAATTTTGTATATACTAAACAAATGTTAATTTATTTTCACCGCCATTTTATTAAACATCCGTTACCGGAAATTAATTGCCAGCAAATTTCTGTTTTTCTTTGACGAAACGTGGCATGAAAGTGTGCTGTTGGCACTTCTCTCAAATGTATGTTCCAGTTCTTATGAAATAATTATTTCGTTGTCGTAAGTGACACGAGTCATAAAAAAAGGTAAAAATATTTATAAATATAAAAATAATTAAAATATTACATTTATGTAATACTTTATTTAATATATAAAAAAATTATAATTTTTATGTTGTATATTTTAACAATAAATGATTATAATATTTAAAATTTTTAATAATATAGATTTTATAACTTTTATAAATAAATTAAACTATAAATAAAATAAACTATGTAATTTTAAAGTTTTATTATTATTTATAAATTATATTAATATTTTATAAAAATTGAATTTATTATTGTATATTTAATATATTATATATAATATTATGTATTTATAAAGTTTTAATTATATTATCATAATAAATTAAAAATGGTACATAATTTCATCTTTATAAATAATATAATTTTTAGCATGAAGTGGTTCATAATATTTGCAGCATTGGCTGCTTTTGTTTTTACTACATATGCAGAAGAAGAAGAAGAAACTGCAAGATTATTAATATCTAAACAATTACTTAATAAATATCTTGTAGAAAATATGGATATAGTAATCAAAGTAAGTATTAAAACATAAATTTATACATTAATATTAATTTATATATAATTTCTTTATTTTAATAAAAAATTTATTATTTGTAGTATACAGTTTATAATATTGGAAGTGCAGCTGCTTTAGAAGTTGAAATCACAGATAATTCTTTTCATCCTGATCATTTTACTCATGTTAGTGGAGAACTAAATGCAAGAATTGATCGTGTTCCACCTTATACAAATGTTAGTCATACAGTTGTTGTGAGGCCACGTAAATTTGGATACTTTAATTTCACATCAGCAGAAGTTTTATATAGACGTAAAGAAGATGCTCCTAGTTTACAATTTGCTGCAAGTAGTGAACCTGGTGAAGCAGTAATTGTATCATTTAGAGATTATGATAAACAATTTTCTTCACATGTGGTAAATTATTATTGATTATAAAAATATATTGTGTATATAATGATAATAAAATATTTATATTTTTTATAGGTTGATTGGGCTGCATTTGCAGTAATGACATTACCATCATTAGCTATTCCTTTTGCATTATGGTATTCTAGTAAAAGCAAATATGAAAAATTGCTTAAAACTACAAAGAAACATTAATCATATATTTATTTTAAATCATTCAAAAAAGACTTTTTCCATATTGTTGTAAGAAATTTAACTATCCAACTTTCTGTACATGTCTACTTTTATAATAAATATTATTTATAAATAATGTACTTATCTTTTCTATTTTTATATTTAATCTAAGATATGAATATGTAAAATACAAAAATTGAAAATTGTTCATTTATTTATACAGTTTATGTAATTTTATATTTAATAAGTATTATCTATTTTTATCCTGTACAAATGAATATTAAACACATTATGACATTAATATATGTAACAAAATGTAGAAAAAATCATTTAATCATTAAAAAAAATAAGGTATGTTTAAAAATTATAAAGAAATATATATATTAATATACATATAAATTATATATATGTACTATATTTTAATTGTATGAATAGAATATAACATTAATATATATATAAATTATTATGACTAGTAATCACATATTTTACATTTCAAAATAATCATAAAAATAATCAATGTTAAAAGTATAACTGCATTAACTTATTGTATATATTCTACTATATATAAAATTATATAAATTATATATTACAGAATATACATTTTCTTATATCTTATTAATATGCAAAGTGATATCTTCGTCATAAAAACAACATAAAGAATAATTTTTTAACAAAAATGAATTTATGATAACAAGGCACCAGTTTGATAATTGAATATTTGTTTACAAATTTATATTAATATGCATTTTGTTATAAATACAATATACTTTTAACTTGAAACTCTATATCTTTATCATATTTTATGAAGTATTTAATGACCTATTTCGTTTAGTTGGTGAATAAGAACCACGAGGATCGCCATAAACGGGATCAAATGCAGAAAATGGTCTTATTGGACTAACTGGACTTCGTGGAATTGATATGTTTGTAGTATGTAAAGTAGGCGAACATGGAGTACTCGTTTTTTTTAATTGTGGTGGACATTTATCAACTATAAAAAAAATTAATTTCAATTAAATAATTATTTATAGATGTAAAAAAAAATTATGTTATTAAAATAATATACATACCAAAAACTGCTTTATTTTTTATATTTAAATCAATATTCGCTATTTTATTTTTCCATACTGTAAAATAAGATAAAAACATTTAAAAAATACAATAAATTAAAATTATAAAATAATTTTAAATTAAAAAAGACTTACTATAGAAGAAAGTAATTACAACAACAGCAAATGTTCCAAATGTGTAACGATGAAAATACATATAATCAACCCAATGAATTCCAGATAATGGGATGAAATTTTCATATTTTGTTACACGTACAAAAAGCTATAAAAAAAAATTATCAATTATATATATATATATATATGAATTAAAGTTTGATATTTATCTTTTATATATTTACTTACAGATATATTTTGTTTTGTAATGTCATTTGCAATAACAACTTTTTGACCTTGAATTTCTTCGTGATTATGCATTAAACGAAGTTTATATTGCATTGTAGATTTTGAAATGTATTGCCGGACACTTACAGTCATTCCATCTGGTACATCAATCTATAGAAGATTAATATAAATAAATATGTTTTCAAATTTCATAAAATGTTTTTAGCTTATTATAATAAGCTTAAAATAACTTTTTATAAAAAATTAAGTACAGTAACTTACAGTAAGATGATCTAATACAGATTGCAATCCATATATCTCAAGTGTTGCAGTTGGAATAATTTGAGAATGAGTATAAATAAAAACAATTTCTTTGGCGTCAACATAAACAGGAGGAAGATATGTTACTTCTAAGGGTACAGCTTCAATATCTTTACTTTGTGCACTTATTTGAATACGATTTTCTAGTGTACTAGAAATTATATTTGGAGAACCCATTGGAATTATATCACAATAATAAAAACCTACAATGAACGGTTTGAAAATAATTAATATATATTATCTTCATAATATTTCATCATAAAATCAAATTAAAATATACCAGTTGTAATATCAAATCGCGGTTTGATAAGAAAAAGATCTTTCACTCCAATAGACGAAGTCGATGAAACAAATTGTATATTACACGTATAGGGAAATGAATTTAAAGTAAATAAATTGAATGTTCTACAACCACCTAATCCTCTAGATAGTACATTATTTTCTTTTACTTGTTCATCTTTACTCTTAAGTACAAGAGGAACGCTAAATGTTTCAGTTCCGGTAATATTTCGACCCCTTAATGGAACAATTGATATCTGCATTCATAATATAATGTAAATAACAATTTAAGAAGACATTAATATAATTTTTAATAATTTTCATATAATACCTTTGCAATAGATTGAATATGAACTTCTATTTCACCTTGCATATGAGTTGCAAGACTATGTTTTACTACTGCATAACCAACATTTTTTGCTCGACCTATTCCTGTAATAGGATCTACTGTTAATATTTCAGAAGCAGAAGATTGCCAATAACCTGGATCACCATCAGAAGATAGAAGTGGCATTGAAAAGCATACTATATCACCCACTGTTAATGTAGTCTATAATATATCATAAATTTAAATTATAAATAATTATTTAACATATAATTAAACAATTATAATATTAAACAATAATATTTAATATAAGTTAAAATGAATATTTAAATTACCTTTGTGGGGAAAACTATATCACCAATCATCATATGTACATAATCAAACATTGCATTAGGATATTTTTCATTATATGTTTTCACAATAAGGTCTCCATTTTCAATAAATTTTACAGTAACTACATTTTCAGAATTTTTAATAAATGATGCAAGATCAGCCCGATTTAATATAGTTTCAGCATTAACCTCAGCAGCATGAAATTTTGTTCCAACATTATCATAATATTCAAGAACATAATCTAATTCCATACCTTTGGGTAACATATTTAATTCTTCTCCATTTCGAATTCGTAAAATTGATTTCAGAGATAACATCATATAATGAATAGGTTTAATCTATATATAAAATAGAATATAAATTTTTAAAATTTTTCTAATTAGATTTACATGTAATTAGAATATATTTTAATATAATACAAATCTTACTTCAACAATAATAGTTATTGATTGTTTTAAGTTATATGTTTCTGTGTTTGTGATAGAAATAACTATTTTTCCAAAATTTTCACCAGCTTTTATGATGCCATTTTTATCAATAGTAATAGTTTTAGATGCTGGTGTTAAAGCATGTGAATCCATTGAATCATTTCCATGTAAAGTTGATAACACTTTATAAGTTGTTGAACCATATTTGTCACGATTTGTTTGTAATTTTAAAATAGAATTTGGAGACATTAATATCACTGGTGCGTTAAATGGTAATCCTAAATGCGTTAAACGCAATTCTTCGAAAATTTCAATTTTTACAAATGTAGTGAATGTTACATCATTTTTAAAACCAGCTAACATATTGGATGGCATTGTAACATTTAAATAAATTGTTGCTAATCCAGGACTTATTGCTTTGGCTCTTAAACATACCTCATTTTGGTATCTAATATTAATACCAGTACCTTCATACATATTATGCAATGTAATTAGATTAGAATCACTAGATGACCATGTAAAAATTAATAATAATTGCATAGAACCTATAATAAGAGGAGTTAAATGTTCTGGGATACCAAAAGCCCAAAGTGGAAATGTTGCACCCACTTTTACTCTACTTGTTGGCACAATGATTTTCACTCCTTCAAGATATAATACATGTATATCTGCATAATCCTCAGAATGAATAACTT